TGGGTACTATTTGATCAATCATGTTGAGAAGTGAAGAGAATTGTTCAATAAGATGGTCAATAGTGGTTTGGCTCCTGATATTTTTAGTTATAGTATTTTAATTAATGTACTTTGTAAAATCAAGATGGTGGATGATGCCTATGATCTCTTTAAAGAAATGAAGTGCAAAAATTTGTTTCCTAATATTGTCACCTATAGCTCTCTTATTGATAGTTTATGCAAATCAAGAAAAATGTCATGTATGCATGCTATTATTTATGAGATGTATGCAAGTTGTCATGCCTTGAATATAATATTTTATCAAATCTTGTTTGATGGATTGTGCAAAAATCATCATCTTGATGAGGCAATTGCCTTATTCCACCGAATTGTTGACTAAGTAATTCAACTTGACACATGTACATATACCATACTTCTTAATGGTTTGTGCAATGGAAATAGATTAAATGATGAGTGGTAGATTTTTTAGTAGCCTTTGGCTAGCGTCCATCCTTTGGATGCCTAGGCATATACTACAATGATCAATGGTCTATATAAAGAGGGTTTGTTTGATGAAGTAAAGACCTTGCTTTATAAAATGAAAGAGAATTGATGTTCATATGATTTTGTAACTCTTGATACAATTATTAGACCTCTTTTGAAAAAGGGTGAGTTGATAAGGCAAAGGATCTTTTGAATGAAATGTTCACTACAGGTTAAGGTTGGATACTTTGTTCTAGATTTTTTTAGTCATACTCACTTTTTTGATGATTTTTTTTAAAATTTTCAATAGATTTTTTTCGTTTTAGTAAACTTTGTGGACTGTATAATGGCTGGTTGCAATCTATGATGTTATTTTTAATCATGTGTTTGATGTATTTAAAATTTCTTTACTTTTCATTTTTTCTAGTTGTCCCCCCTAAAACTTAAAATTATGCCATTTAAATGGTTATTTGCACTAATTATGGCCACAAGTTAGAGCTTGACTTGACGAAGTAATTGATAATTATTGCCATAGGTCTAGTTCTACCTTGTGGCCGTAATTGCTTCATTTTTACTATAGTTTTGCTTCAACCTATGGAAAAAATTATTCTATTACTACCACTTACACCAGTGATGGCGGCATCCATGCACATAAAATGGAGGAGAAGCGATGTACATCATGCTAGAGACCATGGCCAAAGTTGATTGTATGTGTGTTGAAGATGAAGATTCAAAGTCAGGGGTAAGAGAGATGCTTGAGTAATATAATAGAGAGGGTTTGACCATAATCATAGTAAATACCTATGGCCATAATTGTATTTTTTAAAGAAAAAGAATCACCTTTTGTAATTATGCAGCCTTTACTTACAAAACTAGCAAAAATACATGATTGCTCTAGACACTAGCACGAGTATATCCAACACAAATCAACTAAAAATATACAGTTTTCAATACAAATATATGTAAACCATCTACTCTAATCTTTTTTTAATAGAAAACCATCTATTTTAGTCTTGTTAATTCTAAAAGAAACTAAACCAGATTATGGTGATAGTCCTACATAGGGTTTTCTTTGAGGAGGCGAGCTAAGGGAGGGAAGGAACTACAGCCCTGTTTGGTACAAAGCACTGACAAGGTGGGAATGGGATTGGTATTGAACAATCTCACTTTTTTATATTTGGTATGGGGTATTGAGAAATTTAATCTCAATCCCTATCCCACTAAGGTGGGATTACTTAGTACTACCTACCTCCTAGTACTAGAAAATTAATCCTGGATTGATTGTTATTGTGGCCAAAATTCCTTCCACTCCTCGGCGATGGTGATGGCGATAACGACACAAGCACAATACCAATACTTGAACCAAGAAGAAGAAGAAGACCAATGATAACACAAGCCTCTGCCCTACACCCGCTCTCTCTCTCTCTCTCGTCACTTCCTTCGTCTTTTAGCCTCCACCCCTCCTCACAGTCACAATAGTGATGGCAATGGTGATAGGGACAGTGACAGCGATAGTGATGGTAACCATACACAGGCGTAATGCTGATACTTGAACTAAGAAGAATAACAACAACAATGCAAGGTGATGACAATGATGGGTTTAGGCATAAATCGCCAATGACTGGAAAAAGAGAAGAGGAAGGTCTTACTTAGTCTATCTACATTGTTGGTTTGAAAAGAGAGAAAAGGAAGGTCTTTGAGTCGATCTGACTGATGTTTATCACCAGCGAGACGTTGGAAAACTAGAGAAATCAAAGAACCACCTTTTGTAATTATACATCCCTTACTTATAAAACTTGCATAATTAACACTACTACAAAAACAAACATAAATGATGATTATTTTTACCTATAAATGATGATTAAAAATAGTCATTTATTAGGCTGTCATTTAAAGTCTATTCCTTTATATGATGGTTATTTTCCTGTCATATATACTTGATTATATATGACGGTTATTATAAATAACCGTCATATATTGGTAGTATAATATATGACAGTTATTGCAAATAATTATCATATATTCTAGCAAAAAATGATAGTTATTTAATAACTGTCATTTTTTACTTTTTTTTCTTGTAATAAGGGGTTGTTTTTACAGCAACCCTCTATAAATAAATAATAGATATACAAAATTTATATCCAGACAGTAATATATTAATATTTTTAGAAAAGAATATCAATTGAATTAGAATGGAAATCAATTCAAAAAGAAACAAAAATAAAATTCATTAAAATTATTAAATCATATTATCATTAAAAGCACAAGAACTTAATTAGCTGTTCATCCATGGTTGCGGACACAAAAAACAAATCCATGGCTGTAAATATTAGATTCTCTTTTCATTTTCATTTCGATATTCAAAATTGGACATGTATTACTCAACAATATGATGAAAATGTAGACTAAATAACATGTTATTTTTTACTGATGAAGACGAGGCAGCACGTAGTATATAATAACTATATATTAACATATTATTATTTTACTGAATATTGATTAAATTGATAATTCAAATAGCACAAATAGAATATTCCGAATATGGAGCCTACTGAAACTATTTTTGACAAATATAATATTTTTTGGCTAAAGAACAAATTTCAATTCACTCCCAACAGTAACAACTAATATATCTGGTCAAAAGAATAACAAATAAATGGTGACAAGATTATTATAAATAAAAATTATGACTTAAGAAAGTATTAACCATATACAATATCACGAATAGAAAAGAATGAGATTTTAGATTTTACCGATTCATCATATAGAGGGTAGAGTGAATTTTTTCACTTACATTTTGAAAGAACAATGAGATCTAATTTTTTTAAAGAAGAAGAAGAAGCAAGAATTAAAAAAGGAGGAAGAAGAAGGGATTGACCTTAACGTTTAGTCACTTGACCTTACGAACAAAAGCACGAGAAGGGTCAGCCTTGGTGAAATTGGTGGAATCAGAGGGGTACTTCAACAATGTCGACCTTTTTGAGTTAGGCAACTCAAATGAGTTGATGAATGATAGTGAGTGAATGGACAATGAAAATGCAGACTGAGCATAGCTTTGAATGGACTAGGTAGATCTAGATGAGCATGGTGAAATCATGTTGAATCTGGGCAAATGGACAAGTTGGGGGGATGGAGAAGAAGAAAGGAAAATACCGGCGCGAATCTGAAAATGAACATGAAAGAGGAAACTAAGCATTTAAAAAACCACCATATATGACAGGCTTTTAAATCCTTGTCATATATTGTTACACACATCAAACACTCGTCATATATAGTGCTATTAATTTTTTAAATAAAAATTATAATTTGAAACATTAAATTTGAAGGAAATTTTATACAAGACACTGGTTGCTAACGGCAGTTTCGTTAGCCCTTGGCGTGCCATGATCAATGACTAACTAGTTTGATTTTTATGAGCTCTATTCTCATGTTTGTTATTTATGGGTCTCGATTCGCGTTTGTTTTTGTGACTTTGAGCCGTGTTTGGTTTGTATTACTCTCGTGAACTACGTGTCCACATTTATTTCATAGCTCAAGCTGCGTTTGGTTACTTACCCTCGTAGACTGTATGTCCACGTTTGTAAATTGTTCTGATAAATTTTCAAAAATATGAATTTTTAATTAACTGATTATTAATGATTTTTAATTATAAAATGTTATTATTTTTATTTATGTATTTATTTAATAATTTTGACTTGTCAAGATTAAATGTCAAAATTATTTTGTCATTATAAATTTAAAGTTTATTGATATTGAAGTTATATAAAACTTATTCCAAACTTACAAATTTATTTACATTATGTTGTTTTTTCTTTAATTTATGTATATGTTATAGTTTATTCATTTTGAATGTGCAAAATGTTATAGTTGGAACGTTATTCATTAAAAAATATTTTTGATTCCAGATCAAATCATTCAAGGGATTTGCTACTGGATTGAAGTTGTGACGCCATTTTAATTAATTTTTATTTTTTTATGTAAAATTTTAATTTATCTATTGTACTTTTATAAATAATGTTATAAGTGCTCCACATAAACTATGGTAAGGGTCTTTATTTTATAAATATTTTGTCTGTTGGCTGGAAGCAGTTAAGCTTCTAAATGTTACAATATTTTTTTAAAAATTTGTATTGTAAAATTTTAAGAAAATCCTGTTCTGAAGAGAGATTTTGTTAGATATTTCACAAAAAATATTAAGGGTTTATGTAAATGAAAAGTATTTTTAAAATAAAACATTTCTTGAATTGGGCATAAGGAATGTGTGTAGTTGCATCTCTCATGCCGATCATTCCCATATTTTGGAGTGTGACAATTAAACCTTGAAACTTAAATCTACTACAAACATATCATCGAGTTCTAAAAATTTCCACACGATCGGATCAAAACAAATGCATATCTTCACAGCCTCACATATGATCAAACTAACAGTCCATGCGCAGAAAAATGTAGTTAAGCTGTCAAAAAGTAATCAGCATATGATCGATAAAGGGTCATAACTATTTCAGGAACAGCCAACCAAATATATAGATCTTGCCCAGCAGCTGAAACCTGTCTTACATCATTTAGATCTCCAAACAAGATGATGCAGTCACTATTCCCTCTGCTGATATCTGAGTTATTATGATTTACAAGCTCCCATAAGAAGTGTCCAGGAGAAGGGTCAAACAAGAGGAAGTGACTTTGGTTGAGAATCACGATATGTCCCTCTGTTTATGCTTGGCATGCTAGAGTTGTCTTTGATTGGTTTGTCATGGTGGGCAACCCAAACGACACTCCTAACTGGGATGTTTTTGCACCAAATTACAAGATATCGATTTCTGGTACTACCTGGAACTACCATGTTTTTGTACCTGGGCTCGTGAAAACAGTCCCATCTAGCCCCTTGCCGATAAGTCTAACTGAATTAAGAATAAGGTAAGTTCACCCAGTCAACAGCAACACCAAGTTTGAGAATGCAAAAGAAGGAAAAACATAGCTTTGAGAAGTACTTATCAGCAACACCAAGCTTAACCTCGAACAACAGATCCATCATTTTTTCCCATCTCCAGGTCTTCAGATCAAGATATGACATCTCTAAATGAACAATACCCTTTCTACGTTGAAACTTGTTTTGAATATTCTTATCAAGGTTAACACTAAAAGTTGAAGTATCGATAACATGCAAGAGGATTATACATGACGACCACCTACAAGAAACCCCCTGGATATTGAGAGAAACATTTTCGTAAAAAAGAGTCATATCTCATTAAAGATCGAAGGGATTTTTTTTAATGGTTGACTATTACTAACATACCATACAATCATAACATACCAGCTTTTTCTGTCAGGCAAGTTAACTTTTGAGGGAGTGCCCATTACTTTGTCAATATCTCTGCAACATGAATGTCAGCATCACATGTTGAAATTTTATAATTATCATGCATCAAGATCAAAATCCATACTACATGGTACTTGGTGAATTCAAGGACTTGTTTTTGTAATATGTAAGAAGTTATGACTACTTCAGCACAAGTCTTGAGTTCATTATGTGAAACTAATGTACTTTTTTGCATACCAAAAGGAATCCATGAGCAAAGGGTAATCTAAACATAGTTCCTCTGTGCATATAACTTCATGTTTTCAGAGTGAATGCAATCTCAAGCTTCAAAACCTATCTACGGTTCCACACCACAACCAAAAAGACAAGAGGTTAAAGGAGCAACTTAGATGTTATTTTATATTCTAAATTGAAAAACCCAAACTATTTAACATGCTCATTATCGACTAGGAGAACATTAGTCATAGCATGAGGGGACACCAACAATTCCATCATAAGATCACCAACAACTCCTGGAGAAAGTCTGCTACTCCTTTCATTTCCTGACACTTGAAACCACATTCCTCAAACAATTGGAGTGCTTGACTGCACAGGCCATGATATACAATCTTCCCCTTTGTTATCAGAATAAGATAATCAAATAATTCAAAGGTTTCAGGAGCTGGCAGAAGAAGTAAAACCACTACAGTTGCATCTACGATGTGTACCGACCACTGGAGACACGTAAATTTTGTTTTTTTTTTGATACAGAAAAGGGACTAAGCCCGAGAAAAAAGATTATATAGCTGGGGATTTAGATCCCAAGTTGTCATTGTGCACTAGGTAATTATTTGAGAAGTTGTAGAACCGTCCAAACCAGTTGATATTCCGTCCATAAACAGAGTTTTTATGGGACCAGCAATGAAGAAAAAAATTATCTGTATGATGAACATATTTATTTCAGCCAGGGCAAAAGGTCTCAGTAGCTCTTCATTTTAATGTCTAGTAAAGAGGGGGTGCTTCTATCATATTTTTCAGTCATGAATGAAACTTATTACCTGAATCTTGAATGTTTTGAATTTAAGAAGTACAAAAAAAAAAAGTTAATTTGTGAATTTCTACATACCTGTTGTAAGCCTGTTCTTCTGTCCACCTGGAATGCCTTTATCTTATGCATCACCACCCATTGTGTCAGCGCAGATATCAAGCCCAAGAATCTACAAGGTCAAAAGAATAGGAAGATCTTAATTGAGCCACTTAATAACTTCATTCTGCAATCTTTCTGCGCTTGGAAGAGGGTGTATTTTTCTGTAACTTCATGCTTACAAAGAAATTATGACCAATTTAAAACCATAATTCACTATGCCTAAGCCTTCTACTGCAGTGCAAGTTGGTATTACTTGTGAAGGTGAAAGTAGTAATAATTCACGACGCCAAAGCCTCCTCCAAGTAATCATAAGCCAAATAATACTCAGATTTATGTGTAAATTTACCATTTCTATTGTTACTATCTTCAACACCATTTGCTCCTGTCTCATCAATGCTAGGATCAACATCCACTGATTCAGCATTTAAATGATCATTACCCTTTATATCATCTACTTGATCATCAGTCAACTGAAACCATGAAAAATTTTATATGCACATCACAGTAGTTCCGAGAGTAACAATGTGAAATTTTATTTTGAGATCACTGTCTTTAGATATGCCAAATAAAGCTCACCACCGAACTTAGTTTCAAAACAACTATCCTCTTTCTTGATTTAGTCCCTATTGTTGAATTTTTGAGATATTTGTTAGTTTTGGTTGACATAATTAAATATATATCATTTTAATGATTCACGATAACAAATACAACAAAAGAAAATTTATTCGCATGAGTCAAATATTGGATAGAAGTATAAAACGTAAAAGTAGAAACCAAACTAATAGCAACATGATAAATCATATACAAGAGCCATCAAGGTTCCCTGAAATCATAATATTAAACGAACTCTCATATCATCTATTAGTAATTACTAATTACATGGAAATACGTTAAAAGATAAACGTGGGACACGAAGAGATGCAACTGATCAGTTTATAATTGCGTCATATCATGCAAAACCGGATACTTACTGATATTGATGATACAATAAATCAACCTTCTCTGGCATCGTGTTTCAAAAATCAGACTTGAGTTTGGAATGCGAATGAATTAAACTAAAACAAAAGAGAGAGCAATCAATGACAAAATTGGCACAAGAATTGAAAAAAGAATATACAGGTAAATAACAATGCACTTATGGTGAATCAAAATTGGAGAGGCTGAGGACAAAAATCAAACCGCAATCGGATCCTTAATCGCCAGGAGTCAAAAGTCAAACCTTTCAGAACAAAACAATATGGAAATACAAACAACAGAAAATTTCTTCACAGAAAAACACATATTACACCGATTGGATTGAACGACGCCAGGTAAGGAAGAGAAAAACAGAGCGGAGAAAAGATCAGGAAAAATGATGGAAAACTTTTTAAAAAATAAAGAAAGTATAAAAATGGAAGGAAGAATAGATGAAAAGAACCTGTTAACTGGATTCAAGACACAGGAATACTCCCTTCTACAAAGCACAGCTCTCTGAATGATATCTCAGTGGGAACCTGCAAGGGAAAAATATTATGAAGTATTTGAAGAAGAAATGGAAGAATGCATCAGGAAAACCTACAGGCTAAGAGGAAATAGACTAACATGAACAGACTTCCTCCATAAGCGAATGGAAGGAGAATGGAGAAAACACCAATGGAAGACTTTTAATAAGAAACTACAGTTTATATATTTCTAACAAAAACGGATGAATTGGAAAAAGAATTGATAACTACTGGTTTGATAACAAACGGAAAAGAGCTGCAATCATTGATGAGCGCTTAAAAGTTAAAAAGTGGAATAATTTTTAGGAAATAGTCGCAACTGTATGAAGAAACAAAACGAAAACGGATGATAGGATATATAAAACTTGACCAATAGTGCGACAACAGAGGAATCTGAAAAGGAACAGAAATGATTCAAAGCGCCGAGTGACATGTTATACAAAGCACGGGTTCCCATCTCTCCACTGTTGGCAACAGAACCATCTGGTAGCGACTGCTGATAAATGATCGATGATCAAAGGCTCATCTTCTTCCATCTGGGCATGTGAAAAAGCAGATTGCTTTATATATTACTCTCAAACCCAGAGTACAGAGAGACCCAAAAATATACTTGTATTGGGAACAAAAACGCTCTCACGCAGCACATAATATCATATTTCTTCCTGTCCAAATTATAAGACATTGTTTCTGCTCATCTTGACTTAAAATATAAAATATTTAGTAAGTTTTGAATTTTTTTTTTTATGTTACCTTGTATTTATTGACTTAATTTGTTGTGTAACTTGATTGATATTTATCATATTTTTCTCACTCTTGATGATAACTAAAACTTTATTGGTTTATAAGGAGAATCATGCTTTCTCATATTATAGTACTTCATTAAAAAAATATTATCTCTCTCATTTAATTTATTATTGAGGGTTGGGAAAAAGGGTAAAAATAAAAACTTTTGATATTTATAACTAAAAATAAGGATAAAATTGAATTTTTTTAGTATTTAAATTATAATTAAAAATGTTTTATATTTTGGACCAAAATATAAAAGAAGAGAACCAACCAATGAGCATACAGAATTTTCCTTGGACCAAAATCATCCAACCAACGACTAAGGAGAATTAAAATTAATCTAAAGTGAACCCACCAATAAGAAGGAAGAAAAATTGACCAATCAGAATGCAATTCCACAAGATTTGTATATGGTACAATAGTTGATGATTGATGAATCAAACAACTCAACCAAACTCCAACCAGTTAAATTACTATCAATGTGGTCTATCCAATCCTAGAAATTAAAAACAAAACAATTATAAAGATTTTTAGGGGTTTTTTCACTAACCAAAGTTTTACCAAATGTTCACCAAAAATTAATTTATTAACCACTAGGCTTAGTTTTCGCGAAGCATTATTATAAGCAGGCTATTTAAGTTTAATTTGATATTGGTATATAAAAAGTTCAATTATTTACTCATACTAGTATATAAGGTAATATTAAAAAAAATTATCTGAACTCAAGTTCACTCAAAAAAAAAAAAAAATGAAGTTTCTCTATAAGAGTTCTTCCAACTAACTCAAACATCAAAGCAAGAATTTAGAAGTCCCTAGGAAACTTCTAACACCTTTACAAAAGTAAAATTGAGCAATTAAAATCAAATCAAATCAAATTAAATTTATTTCTTACTCTAAAGTTATCTCAAGGTACTCATGGGAGTCACCTATAACTCTAAAAATACTCCAAAAATTCTTTTAATTTTATTTAAGGTTCTTCTAACCTTAAAGTATCTCAATCTATCCCAAGGACTGTCCAAAATAATTTTTATGTTAAGTCGGTTATTACTTTTTTTAATAAATTCTCAAATAATTAAAATAAATTCTAGTTAGTTATAATTTATTATCTAGAATTACTTTTAATTTATAAATTGCTCTAAATAGTTCTAAAATAATTTCTACAACTCTTAGAGTTACTGGTTGCATTTAGATTGGTAGATTTAAGTTAGAAATTTGGATTTAAAATTTTATATTTGAAATATCACATTTAAAATTCATAAATTCATAAATTCTTTGTTTGGATGATATAAAAAATTTTAAATTATAATATTAAAATTCTTTGTTTGGATCTAAAGTAAAGTTTCAAATTTTAAATTTTATATTTAAATTTAAAAGAAACTTAGATGACATCAGCAGTCCGTTCCTAGTCAAAGTTGATAGTTCGAATCGCTAACTTCTACTGAGACCAAACGACCAATGCCAACTGGGACTATAGCATTGGCAACAACTGGGATGGGACAACCGACTTCCACCAAGACAAGACTGACGGCAACAATTGGCACTAAACAACTGACTTCAACTAGGAGGCGACCTAGACTGGATCGTCATTGCCTATTAAGATTAGGTTAATGACTTTGATCAAGATCGAATTGTTGACAATCCAGTCACAATCAGTGCTGATGGTTCAATCTTAGTCGCAAGAGGTTGTCCAATCCCAGTCAACACAGGCCGCCCACTCCCAATGAAAGTCAGTCGTTCGGTCTTGATTGTCACCATTAGTTTAGTCCCAGTGAAAGTCAGCCGTCAAGTCGCTATCAGTTCAGTCCAAGTGGAAGGTGACTATCCCTTCCCCGTCGTCGTCGTTAGTCCAGTCCCTATCATAGCCATTTGTCCAATCTTGGTGGAAGTCGACAGTGTAGTTTGGATTATTTCTTGCACTCTGGTCCCTATTGGCGTGAGAGGTTCATCCCAATGAAAGTCAGCCATTTGGTCCTAGTTGAAGTTGGCAGTGCAGTCTCGGTGGCCAGCGGTGGCCTGGTCTCAATCAATGATGGCGGCTTATTTCTGTCAGCTTTGGTAATCCGGTCCAATTACCGTTGGCAAGCTAATCAAGCCTTTGTGGATTTGGCTCAAATTACAAAAGAGATTGAGTTAGAATTTGAAATAATAAAGGTTTAGACAAAATTTTAAATTACAAAGAGGTTGAGGTAGAATTCAAATTTGGATTTAGGTCAAATCTAAATTTATACATTTTTAATTACCCAAATAATGAATTTGGCTCAAATTCAAATTCAAATCCATATGTATCCAAATATAGCATAATGTTACTTTCTATAATCTCAAGGTCTGTTTATTTTTTTGCTTTTCATGTTCAGAAAGTAAAATTTTACTTTCAGAAAGCCAAAAGTTGTTTGGGTAAAATATTTTGTAGGAAAGCACATTCTGAAAGTACATTCAAACAGTAACTGGAAGTGAATTTTTGAAACGTAACTATTTGAAGCTTTTGAAAAGTGGATTTGAGAAGTAGGATGTTATTTGACCATACTACATCAAGTTTAATATCTTATTCTTTTATTTAAGAAATAGTTAATTCATTAAAAATATAATTATTATTTCAATAATAATAATTAGGTATCAAGTTTTTAGCATTATAAATTAAATAATTAATCATGTTATTTTTTAGCATTAATGTATAATAAAAATTACAAATCTTTATCACATTTTTTAAAATTACAAATAAAAAAATAAAAATAATTAGAGATCAAATTTTTAGTATTGTAGATCAAAATTTATGTTGTTTAAATTTTTTATCACATTTTTTAAATATTTCAAATATATTTGTTTGTATAATAAAAATTATAAATCATCATAAATCAATATCTTTTTTGGTAATTGTAGATTCAAAAGTACATTTCACTATCACAAACCAAAAAACTTTCAGTGTATCAAATTGGCTTTTGAAAAAATATATCCAAATATAAATTTCGTTACAATAATTGATTTTCACTAAACTAATTTTTATTAAATAAACATTTAACAAACTAAAAACCAAACACACACTCAAAAAGGCCTAAATTTACCACTCAACATCTCTATTCAGTTCTCAAGATCCCTCTCAAATTTTAAATTCACTTAAATCTAATAATATTGGCTAGAATAAAATTTTAGGACACTGATCCAGTGTTTGAAAGCCCGAAAATACCAGCATAGCTTCTGCACAATTTTCCCTAGCGTGCGTGACGCTTTCTCTCTCTTCTCTGTGATCTCTATCGCTGTCTGAGACGCCGCTGAGGGCACTGTCAACCCAACGGTGGCCGGTGGGCCACGAGCCACTGTTGGTTTTGTACATTACTTTATTATATTTTCTTTTTATTGTTTTAAAATGTTGTTGTTGTTGTTATTATTATTATTTATTTATTTATTTTCTTTCTTCTATTTTATTTTCACATTATATATGTGTGTGTATATATATATATGTATATGACAGATTTTTTTTATACTTTTAAATCTTCTAGTATAATTTATTTTTAAAAAACCAAACATTAAATCTCAACCATATAGTGTTTCAATATTATTTAAATAACATTTAAATTTAAATAAATATAATTTCTTAAATGAGTTAAGATTCTATTTATTTAATCTCACTCAATTTTATAAATTTTCCCTTCATTGAAAATATGTCTTCAAACTAATTCTTTAAAATTTATCTCATTTAGCGTAAAATTCTTCTTACTCAAATAATTATGTGGTAAATTCAAATTATCGTGGGATAATTTGTCCCTGATATTAATTAAGTCCTAAGACTTAAGATGTTAGATTCTTTTTTTCTTGAGCTCAAACTGTCTTAAACTATCTTAAACGCAACCTCATCCTATCCTTAAACCCAAAAATAATTATGAGAGACTTCTTGGAGAGGGAGGATGTTACAGCTAATGATAGTTTTGTTAGTCTTTGGCATGCCATAATTATGACTAGTTAGTTTAATTTTTGTGAGCATCACACTCGTATTTTTTATTCATGAGTCTAACACCTACATTTATTTTTGTGACTTTAAGCCACATTTGTTTAGTATTATCCTCGCAAACTGTATGTTTATATTTGTTTCCGTAACCTTAAGCTGCGTTTGGTTACTTATATATTGAAAATATCACACTCTAAAAATAGGGGATGATCGGCACCAAATGTGAACCACCGCACATCCCTTAAGCCTCAAAGCGGGTAGTTTTTCCATGACTAATACATAATTATGCTTTAGTTTGAATTAAAACATGCTTAAATATTTTTGATATTAATAAAATACTTCAATATTTTTGTAAAAATTTTAACAGAACCTCTTCTATAAAGAGGATCTCTTAAAAATTCTACAACACAATATCTCAATCAAAAAAATATCAAGTCAATTAGGAGCCGAGCTCCTTCCAGCCAGCAGACAAAAATATATATAACAACATAAACACCCTAATCATAGACTATGTGGAGCATCTAACAAAAAGTTTACAAAATAAAATTTTATCATTAAAACTTTATATCAAGAGAAAGTTTAATCGTTAACTCCTCCACAACTAGTCAATCATAAACTC